GTCAGCTCAACTCATATCATTGTGGGAAAATTCTACTACCAGTCCTTCATCACTTTAGACGAAATAGGATGAATACATCTCAATACAATGATCATGCAGACTATGGACTCCGAACTAGATGCGTTTCTCTAAGTCTTCCTACCAATATGACCATGTTGCGAAAACAAGGTCCAACAGCCTCTATACAACGAAGGGGGACTGCGACCACACAATAGGTCACACCATCTTGGTCCTCCTACCTTTTATTTTTATTTAAACTGCAGTAAGCCCGTTAGTTCGAGACCATTATATCTCGTTTCCGGTCTCTGCCATTTGTTCGACCACTCATGAGCGCAGGACCCAGCTCCCTTTGTGAGTATTTATGTGTTCCTCCAATCCTTGTCGAATAGGTCGTCATGTCATATAAACGTAGGGTCGACTACAGTGGCACACAATCTTTTAGTCTCAGGATCTTGATAATGGGCCATAGTTCTCTTTAAAAGATGGCATAAGCGAAAACAGTGAGGGTTTCTTTAAACACTGTTTTTATTCCTATTTTTTAATTAATTCTCCTATCCTTTTTGAAATTAGGTATGACGGTAAAATTAGAACATGAGAAGAGGTCTCCTTATATCTATCTTTAACTAAATTGTCTCCGTCTGAAAATGCATTCATCATTAATGAGATGTCACTAACAATTGGGTCCAATGAATAAGTATTTTCTAGGAATAAATTTTTCAGACGTTCCAACTCTTTAGTCAAATGGTTGCTATCCGCTACTCTCATACTTCTAATAAACATTGATTTCAAAATTCCAACCTTAATTTTGTAACTATGGTTGGAAAGAAAATTCAGAAAAGAGCCAGCCTTCATTGGCTTCCTATAAGCATCTCTCCCTAACTCACGCTTTTCTCTAATGATCAGATTATCCAAAAAGGGTAAGGACCTATTCTGTTCTGGTTCCGTCGTGAACCTAATGTTTCTTTCACATTGGTTAAGTGAAAAAGAGTAAACTCTAAGCTTTCCTTAACATGAGGCCAGATGAAAAAATAGTCATCTATGTATCTAACCCACAATTTAGGGGTTGGTATTGCCTGTTCCAAATAGTGCCCCTCAAGTTTAGCCACATAGTTACATGCCAAGATGGGAGCTAAGCGAGACCCCATCTCAACTCATTGTGTCTGTTCAAAGGTAAAACAGCTGATACTCATGAATAAGTTAAGAAGTCTAAAAATGGAAGATATACTTCTATGATTTCTGGATGCTCCTACAGAGTTTGTGCTAGAGCCTTAATGGTTCCTTGAACAGGAATATTTGTGTACATAAACACAACATTAAAACTTACTAGCATATCCTCCTCTGAAAGTATCCGCTGATCAATTAATTCCACAAACTCGTAAGAGTTTTTAACTGAATCTAGCCAAAAAATGGCAGTTTTCCTTATGCATCACACTTTCTTTAGTATTTACAATTAATCTAAGCGGAACACTCGCTTTTTGAACCTTAGGGAGAGCGTAAGCCGTAGGGGCCCTTGCATCTCCCTGGAGTAGTGAATTCACTTTACACTTCTCCATTTCACCATTACGTAACCATACCTTAAGGACATCCTTCACCCTAGTCTTTCTGCTGGATCTCTCAGACCTAGCATTTTTACTTCATAACTTGACTTAGCTACTACTGCTCCACCCTTGACGGCTTTCATAACAATTAA